GGATTGGAAAGTGCAAGTGCTGGGAAGGAAGGGGGAGCAAAGACACCTCTCTCTTCTGCACTTTGAAAGTACTCAAAGGTGTGAGCGCATTTGCCCAGAGTGTTGAGTGGGTGCCTGGGCCCTGATCCGGCAGGGATCTAGTGTTGCTGGTCTTGTGCAGGGAACACGGTGATCTCCAAGGAGCCAGAGGCTCTGGGCTTCACCGCTGACCCTGCAAGAGGAGCACTGGATGTTCTCATTTGGGGGTTCCCGTACGCAGCTTTAGCCCTGGGTGGCTCTGAAGGTACTGGGTTTGCCTTGCAGGTCTCTGAACGTTGATATGGAGTGGCTGTATGGGGCGAGTGAAAGCAGCAACATGGAAGTGGATATTGGTTACCTGCCTCAGGTCTGTAGTCAGTGTGTGCAGCATCTCAGCAGGGACTTGTGCTGCCACGGCCCTGAGCTGCATCACCTCAGTTATCCCTGTTCTTCAGAGCTTTCTCTGAACACTTCAATATAACAATATAATCTCTGTTGATCTGCCTGTGTCCTCTGCAGCTGTGTGGCTCCCTGTTGCCAGTTCTTGTGATATTTTATTTTTTCCCTCTGTGTGGGTTGAGTCCTAAGCTCCTGGAGTCATGTGACTTTTTCCATTTTTAAAAATAAGTTGTGTGACAGGCGCGGGAGGAAGATTAGGAGCTGAACCCAGGCCCTGAGCCCAGAGGGGTGCAGGAACAACAGCATGTCTGAATTTAGAAACTGCATGAGGTTATTCCTCTATTTTGTGGTAATCCCAGCTCTTGGGACAGGAAACATAAGTCAGGATTTTAAATGCCTGAATTTAACAGTCCCATTTTCTCCTAAACTAGATCCATATTTCTTTTTAATTACCAAAAGTCAGGAAAACAGACTCACAAAATCATTTCAGATGTACCAGAGCACTGAACTACAGGGAAGCTCCTGAACAGCTTTCCCTGTTGCACCCTCTTGTGGCTAGCCACGGGCTGTGTAAGGGCTGTGCTGGTGGTATGAACAAGAGCTTCAAACTAGCCCTGCAGGTCCCAGTGATTTTAGGGATCTGGTGCCCCACAGTCAGAAATTTCCACTGGGAAGGTGGGAACACGGAGTGAACAGGTCTCATGCACTTCCAATCTAGTGAGCACTTGAAGGAAATGAAATTGCCTTCCTGCTATTCCCCAGTAAAACGCATCTGCAACTGGTAAAGTGCAGCTGCAGGAGACAGTAGATCGAGCTGTAGCTTCATTAGAAGCTGCACAGTCTTATTTTGCATCTGGATCCTGTCCTGGAGTACAGAAAAAACAGGAGTGGGATGTCTGCGATGTCCTACTCAGCCTGTTCTCCTGCAGATGGAGCTGGAATCGACAGGCCCTTCAATCCCCTCTGTGATCCATGACGAGAACGGAAATGTGATTGACAGCAGGGATCCCTCAGGGGAGCCCATTCAGTTTGTGTTCGAAGAGATAACCTGGCAGCAGGAAATCCCCTGGGAAGAGGCAGCCCAGAAGCTGGAAGTGGCCATGTATCCATTTAAGAAGGTGAGGAAGGGGCCGGGCTTTTCCTTGGCATGTTTATTTGGGGTCTGTCATCTTCACTGAGGTGTCCAGTCACCTCCAGCAGAAACCAGAGGCCACAACTGATCAGCATTCAGAGTACTGTGAGGGTCTCCCAGCTCAGCGTGTGCCTCGCAGGCGCTGCGTGTGTGGCTTAAGGGACTTCCAGCTTCCAGGTGAGGCAGTGCAGCGTCTCTGAAAGGCCGCTGGGGGTTGCACAGCAGCCCAGGCAGGAGCAAAGCCTAGATGTCATGTGTCCCAGGCTGGTATTGTAAATGTAGGCTCATCCTTCCTTCCTCTTATCAGTAGCTGCCGACGCGATTTCTGACTGAAGCAGGTAATCGCGCTGCTTACAAATGGTTTTCCTCTGGCGTTACTTTTGCAACGTTCAGCTACCTTTGGACCAAGCTTTCCGGAAACACACAATCCTCCCGTGCCTCTGCACCCTGCAGTGAGACACAAATTTATAGCATTGGATGACCCAAACTATATAACATGCCAGTAGCCTGTGGAGCAGATGGCTACTGCCTGTCACTGCTTCCTTGGCTGAAGGGACACGTTTCAATGGCTGCCTCCTTGTGCCTGAGCTTACAAATGTCCCTTTGAGCTGCCAAGATGTTAATGAAGTTCCCTTCATTTGAGTGATTGGAACAATCTCTGTGCAGGGCCCCTCAGAGCCAGTTTTTGGGCCGTTGCAGTGGGGTTTGGTAATAAATATCTCAAGGACAGATTTCCCAAGCTGCTGAGGTGCGTTTGCAGGCAGCCTGCCCACAGATGCTGTCTGCAGCCTGTAGAGATGGGGCTCTGCAGGTGCCGGTTACAGCCCACGTGCTGTGAGGGGCTCGCTGCAATCTCAGTGGGAGACAAAGCTGTCCCTGGGGAGACCACCACAATTGTCATTTGCTTTAGTCTGCAAGATCCACTGCAGATTAAACTCTGTGTGTGTCACCTGTGGGATGTGGCAGGTCTGGTTCCTTCAGACCCTGCTGGTGTTTGGGATGGGCCATTCTTGTGTCTGTTTCTCCAGCTGTCTCTCTGCCTCCAGGTCTCCTATCTTCCCTTCACAGAAGCTTTTGAGAGAGCAAAAGCAGAAAAGAAGCTGGTGCACTCGATCCTGCTGTGGGGTGCCCTGGATGACCAATCCTGCTGAGGTGAGGACGTTCCCAGCGTGACTGGATGAATGATGTGCCTCCTTCAGGGTGTAAAAATGGCTGGGGGTCAGGGAGTTGGTCAGGAGCCAGCAGTAAATACTGTGTTACTTGTTTTGGCACTGCAGATGCTGAATAGAAAGGGGCTGGAAGTGGGGAATTACTGACCAGAGTTTAGGTCTCCAGTGGCAGGATCAGATCCATTTGAGGCAAGTCCTAAACCAACTTGCTAATTCAAGTGCCTTTGTCGAGGAGGAGGCATGGGTCCAGTTTCCTCCTTTCTCTTCCCCTCTCAGTCTGCTTGGGTAGAGGCAGCATCTGCAGGGTGAAGGGGACACTGCTGTCTGCTTTGTCCCTGACACCTGCACAGGAGAAGCCAGAGCCAGACACAGGCTTGGGGCTGTCCTGGTGTGGAGCTGTTTCCCCCCTCCACACCTAAGGACTTGCAGGCCACATTGGGCAGGAATGGTGGGTGGGAGAGGGGCAGGTGTCTTTTAGTCCTGCCTGCCCTTAAAAACTCTACAGCGTGTTTGGCATGAACAGCAAGAGGCACTCAGGGTGGATCCGCAGGGCCTGATCCTTTCCTAAATGCACCACACCAAGCTTGCCTCCACGGCAAGCTTGTCCTGCTCCTTCTGTGGCCTTGCAAGTGGCTGGGGTCTGCTCGGATGAGTCTTCTCTGCCAGCAGCACACACAGGAGACAAATAAGCTGTGGAAAATTACCAACAACGGAGAAAAAAAAAAGACAATATGCTGGGCTGGGGAGGAGCCCAAGCCTGCTGCTGCAGCAGCCAGAGCGGCGGCATCAAACCAGACAAA